AAATGGGCCCATTTCCCCCCCCCCCCCCAGGGCATTAATAGCCTTTAGGGTGCTTGCAGAGTGCTCCTGGGGGTTGCGGGGGGGTGGTGGTAAAATTGAGCAAAAAACAGGCCATTTTTTGCTAATTTCTGCCCTTCCCAGCTCCCAGGAACACTCTATAAGCTTCCTAAAGGCTATCCATTCCCTTTTTTTAAGATGAATCTATCTACAAGCTAGTATTTTAATTTCCCACACTTCCTATAGGTAATGCCATTTCAGGGCATTCCAGAAGCTCTAGTGACCATAGGTTGGCTGCTATGTATCTTAGGGATGTTTTTTCTGAGACAAGCACCGTATTTTTCAGAGTATAAGACGCACCGGAGTATAAGACGCACCAAGGTTTTGAAGAGACAAATTTTTAAAAAGTTTTTGTATTGCAAACTTCCCCAAAACAGCCCGTTTTTGCGAAAATGGGCCCATTTCCCCCCCCCCCCCCAGGGCATTAATAGCCTTTAGGGTGCTTGCAGAGTGCTCCTGGGGGTGGGAGGCAAAAACAAGCATAAATGGCCCATTCTTTTGCTAAAACAATCCCATTTTTCATAAAACAAAGGGCATGGATAGCCTTTAGGAAGCTTATAGAGTGCTCCTGAGGGCTGGGGTGGGGTGGGGGGTAAAATTGAGCAAAAAACAGCTTTTCTGCCCTCCCCAGCCCCCAAGAGCTCTCTAAAAGTTTCCTGGAGGATCTGCACAGCCATTTTGATGAATGGGAGGGGTTTCGGGAGGCAAAAAATACTGTATTCAATGTATAAGATGCACCCAGATTTTCAGCCTCTTTTGAGGGAAAAAGATTCATCTTATACTCTGAAAAATACGGTAGTGACCATTTAAAGCGGTGGTGTGAAATTCATTTTTTTTTTACTACTGATTTGCTCGGCATGGCTTGGTGAGCATGGCAGGGGAAGGATACTGCAAAATCCCCATTCCCACCCAACTCAGCTAACCAGAGGTGGTATTTGCCAGTTCTCTGGACTACTCAAAATTTCCGCTTCTGGTTCTCCATAACCTGTCAGAACTTACTGAATTTCACGCCTGATTCAAAGTTACAACAGCACTGAAAAATGTGACTTATTACTGTTTTTCACCCTTATGATCATTGCAGCATCCTCATGATTACGTGACCGCACTTGGCAACTGGTATATATTTATGACAGTTGCACTTTTCTGGGTTAATATGATCACCATTTGTAGTCTTCTCAACCAGTTTCTGACAAGCAAAGTCAATAGGGAAAGCCAGAATCCATTGGCTTAATGACTGCATAATTCACTTAACCACTGCAGTTATTCACTTAACATCAGTGCCTTCGTGGGACAAAACTCTATTAACAACTGCCTTACTTAGCAACAGAAATTTTGGACTGAATTGTGGTCATAAATGGAGGATTACCTGCACTTCAATGTATAAAGGAATGCTTCTAGATGAATAGCTCTTAGTACTCCCAAGTTCAGTCCTTTTTTTTTTTAACTGATAAAAAGGCTGGAAGAAATTTGAAAACAAAGATGTTTGACCTATAAGGTCAAAACACTTTCATAAGAATTCCATCCTATGCAGTGTAGTCAATGAGATCTGATCTGGAAGTTTCCTTTGTTAGCCCACTCTTAAGTTGAACTGCAGAAATTATTTTTTAATTCTTTATTTTAGAAGAATTCAAAATGTAGACAAAATATCAAAATAAACAACATTTTAAAAAATCATATTATAATATTTCCATTGTTTATTTTTATTTCTGTATTCCTTTGCTATTGTGATGTCTATATTTTTTATCATTCCCTTCCCCCCCCCAATCTTACTGTTGTAAGCTACCCGAAGTAGCCCCACAGCTAAATGGGTGGCAAATTAATTTAATAAATAAATCATTAACATTAATAATAAAAAGAAAAGAGAGAAAAATGGAAAACAAACAAATAAAAATGGGAGTGTTGCAGTTTATAATTTGGAAACCATTATACTAACTAAGCTATTCTAATATGAACAATCATGAAAGGAGTATATGTATTCCTAATACAAAACACATTTCTTTATCATTCCCAAAAAATATTCATACAGTTCTACGGATGCTCTGGATACTGTTAATGTCATATCTTATATGTTCAGCAATATATTCCTGCTCCTCCTGCTACTGTTGCTGCTGCTGCTGCTGCTACTCCTCTCAGTTCGATGTCATGGTTGAGCAGTGAAATGGTTAACATTTAGATCCCTAAGGACTCCTTCAATCATTCTCTACCTCAAACTTGAACCTCATGAATAGAGCTTAATAATGGCATTGAATACATAATCTTCTGTATTGCTAATAAAACCAAAATACTATCTTACATGTTGTATTATGACATAAATAAGCAGTTTACACTAAAACTTAGTTGTTTTAAACATCAGTAATATAATAGCATCTATAACAATCCAGACTACTCTCAAGAAATCATAGCTGTAAACATTCAAAATTCTAATGGAACATTAACCATGATGCACAAAAGCATATTCACCCAAATTGAATGAGACTGGCCAATTTACTGAACAACAGGTACTGGTAGTAACTTAGCTGATGTTTCACCCTATTGTCATCTGATTGTAGGTTAGGTTAGGTTAAGTTTATTTATAGGCCGCCCTTTTCCCTGAGGGGACTCAGGGCGGCTTACAACTTATATAGGAAGGGGAAACATACAAAGACATATAGGACAATACATAATTAAAAGAGTAAAGCAACATTCATTCAACATTTGGGCGGGGATGGAATATAATCTTTAACCCCAGGCCTGACGGGATAGCCAGGTCTTGAGGGCTGTGCGGAAGGTCTGGAGGGTGGTGAGGATACGAATCTCCACGGGGAGATCGTTCCAAAGGGTCAGAGCTGCTACTGAAAAGGCTCTCCTCCGCGTAGTTGCCAGTCGACACTGACTGGCAGATGGAACTCGGAGGAGGCCCAATCTATGCGATCTAATGGGTCGTGAGGAGGTAATTGGCAGGAGGCGGTCTCTCAAGTACCTAGATCCACTACCATGAAGGGCTTTGTAGGTGGTAAGTAGTACTTCTCTGGTGCTCCAGTATTTAAATTTGGGCATCTTGAATATTCCTAGAACTGTACAAAAATGGCTGAATTCTCAACCTTGTATCATCACAGCACAACACACCTATGCCTTCATTTCTTTATGTAGATCTTCCATCATGCTGGATGAAAATTCCCAACAAAATTCTGCCACATCTAGAAGAATTCAGTTTGAAAAACACTTCTGTATCTTTCCTATGCTGCATTTTAGATCATATGTGTCATATTTAGGAGACTGTCTCTATGTTGACATTGAGCAAAATTTGAGAAGTGTAGTGCAAATTTATGCCAGGCAGGGAGTTTAAGATTAGACTTTTGTCTTAGCAGGAAATATGAGAAATATAAGAATATGAGAAGAAAGGTTTGGTGATATAAAGCAGGGTCCCAAATCTCTGGGCTGCAGTCCTGTATCAGTCTACGGCCCATTGGGAATTGGGCCGCACAAACTGTGGGCTTCATTAGTGCATGCACAGGATCTAAGTTGCGTGTGAAACCATCCTCCTACCGCCACTGACATCACCTCGGCCACCTCGGCCAAGTCCATGGAGCTAGAAAGGTTGGGGACTGCTGATTTAGAAAATGCATATGATAAAGTGCATAGACTTGAGTGACTGAATGTTTTGTATGAATATGAAATACAATAGGATGGTTTCTAAGTGTAGTAACGGTAATATATGATGAAAGTAAAGCATGCGTGTAAATAAATGGAACGCTAATTAAATTGTTCAAAGGGACTAGAAAAATACAACATAATGTTCCATTCATTATCTAAGATATTTATGGATAAAAAATATGAAGAATATTTGTGATGAAGTTAAGAGAATGTTCATTATATAAAAATATGCATATTTTTATATGCAAACAATGTATTGGGTAGATTTGTAACAAATGTTAATGCAATGAGGCATATAGATAAAGAGAAAATAGTGTGAAAAAGGTAAAGTATACCATCTTCCTTTTTCTTATTATGTTTTTAATTTATTTTCCTTATTATTTGTAGATAAATAGATGGTGATAATTTGATTATTACATATGTCTATAATGTTTGCTCTTCCCATCACTTGAAGAATTACAGTTTAGTGGTAATTTTTCAGCAACTGGAGAGGCCAAACTCAACATTTTCTGAGGCTCCTGGAAAGGAGAGAAAGAGGAGGAGAGAGGGTAGGAAGGGGAAGAGGAAGAGTAGGAGTAGGAGAAAGGTACAGGAAGAAGGAAGGGAAAGGAGAGGAGGAAGGAAGGAAGTAGAGAAGGGAGGGAGGGAGAAAAGAAAGGGAAAATAAGGTGGTGTTACAACAGGAGGAAGGGATGGTAAACAAAACAACCCAAACTGTATATTATAACCTATTAAATGAAATAATAAATGTATAAAAATGATAAATGTTAAAACACCTGTAATCAAACGACATGCTGTATGTGATGATGGTTTTTTTGTGTGTGCGGGTTTTTTTAGGTTTTTTTTATTGTGTGTATGTGTTGTCTATGTAATAAAAATAATTTTTTTTTATAAAAAAGCATTTTCTGAGGCTGAACGTGGTACGGTTTTTTCTGAATATTTCTTTATTTTTGTCTGCATAGATTACAGAGATTTTGTGTGTGGAAAGCATCATCAAATCCCACACATAACCCCCCCCCTCCTTTGCTTCATCTATTTTACACCCATTGCAAGCATTGCAGTAGCATTTAATTAAGTGGCTACATAAGTCATACATACATGCCTGTCTTACTTATTTTTAATTTGCTTCTCTAGAACAAATACTGAAGCAAGTAGCAACATCAGATAATCCAGTGCTCTTTCTTGAACATTATGCCAGGCAGTATACGCCAACATATATCCCAAGTAAGGACACTGTACAAAAAGATCCTTCAGCTTCATCAAGTGTTGCCACTGGAACTGAAAGCCCTGGGAGATCAATATGTGAAAGATGAATTCAGACGACACAAATCCATCAGTCTCCAGGAGGCCCAGCATTTCCTACAGGAGTGGGAGGCAAGTGATTTCTTTTATATTTGGGGTTACCTTGCTAATTTTGGTGCTTTGGACTAGTTCCAGATACAGTGTGTGAAATCTCCATCATTTGCCATCTGCAAGTCTCCAAAGTTGTGCGTGGGAGGAGTCACAGCTGGGTATTGTCACAGCCCATCTGCCCGGAGACTGAGGTAAATCTTGAGGCCACACCTCTACCTCTCCTCTGACTCTCCAGATTAACCTCAGTCTTCGGCCCAGAAGAAGGTAAATACCTGGCTCTCCTTGGCGTGAAATATTTTCCTGAGGTGGCGCAGTTGTTAGGGTGCAGTACTGCAGGCCACTTCAGCTGACTGTTATCTGCAGTTCAGTGGTTCTAATCTCACCGGCTCAAGGTTGACTCAGCCTTCCATCCTTCTGAGGTGGGTGAAATGAGGACCCAGACTGTGGGGGCGATATGCTGACTCTGTAAACCGCTTAGAGAGGGCTGAAAGCCCTATGAAGTGGTATATAAGTCTAACTGCTATTGCTATTGCTATTTTTCTTTTTGCCTTTTTGTTCTTTCCATTTTGCCTTTTTCCCTTTGGAGTTTTACCTTAAGAAGCTTTTTGGCGTTGGATGAACCTCCTTTCATGCGCTCCGCGATTGGCCTGGCACAGGAGTGGTAGCGCTTCTGAAAGGCCCGAGCAGCGGTCCGGCGAAGGAGCTGGGGAACCCAGTCCCCATGTACACAGCGCAGCTTGAGTGCCGGCTGCTCCAGAGAATCTACAGACAAGCAGGAAGATAGCAGTGCATGTGATTGGATCTTGTGGTCTGCGGTTGCCATCTTGAAGTGAGAGAGTGCATGTGCGGAGCGTAATTCCGGTCTCTGGCCACAGAGACCGCAAGGGCCTGCGACCACCGCCAGCCCAAGAAGGGATCGGGCCTGAGCTCCTCCGGCAATCCGGAGAGGGCCCCAGGATCTGGCGGTGGGCCGGTCCCGACTCAAGGCGTGGATCAATGGCGTCGGAGGAAAGTAGAGCGAGAGGAAAGCGAGCCTTTGGAAAACCTGCGGACCGGTTTCTTTGAAGAACGAGCGAGGAGGGGGATCGTCTAACAGTGAGTAAACACGATGGTGGGGAGGAGGACAGGTCTGGGCAGAGCTTCCCCAAGGGGGACAGACTCAGAAGAAAGGACCTCCAGAGGGCCCCACCCTGCGAAGAGGGGCGGAGCCATGGCAGGAAAGTGCACCTCCAAATCGAGGAGAGCAGTCGAAGAAGGAAGTGAGGGTAACCAGGGTGGCAGGCAGGAGAAACAGGGACACGATCAATCCTTCCCCGGTCAGATCCCGATCCCCAGTCAGGGTCTCCTCCCCGGGGGATCCTCCCGGCCTAACGGCCTCGCCACGTGGTTCCCAAAAGGGGGGGGGGTAGCTCCTTATCCCACCATCTATCTCCAGCTCACCCTTCCGGAGCACGAGGAGACCCCTTTGGCCGTTGGCTCCGCAAAGCCCTGATCACAGCGTGGATCCAGAGCCTCCCAGACTATCTCTGGCCTACCCAGACCTTTCTCAGGGTTTCCAGGAGGTCTTAGCTAAAGCCATTGCCTAGGGCATCTCCCCTGGCATGCAGCACCAGTTTCAAGGGTCTAGGAACAAGGCATTCTGTAGGACACTTCGAGGTCATCTAGACCAACCCGACCCTTTCACCTCCAGAGACCTTAGAGAGGAATCCCCCTCCACGGCTACTAAGGAGACGGAGTCAGAGGAGGGGGAGATTAAGGAGGTCAATTTCTCTTATGAAGAGGAGGCCCAAGCCCCTGAAGCCCCATCTATCTTGGGCCTATTTCCACCCACTTTCTTTAGCTCCTTGCTGCATAAAGCTAAGGCCACAGCAGACCCAGGCCCAGCAGCCAATCAGGACACTGTCAAGGCTGGCAAGACAAGAAGGGTCCTTTCCACAGACCCCAGGTGGAGAAGAAGGAAATCCCTACCCCAGACCTGTTCCTAGAGGTGCTCAAGTCACAATGGGCCCAACCAGGAACCTTTCCAACTCCTGGGAGCAATGATCGCAGGTTTTATAACATTAATGTGAACTTTGATCAAGTTTTGCAGGTTCCATCAGTGGACTCCCCAGTGGTAAGCCTGGCATCCTCCTCACCGGTGGTGACAGGAGACATTTCCAACTGCCTGAAACCGGAGGACAGGAAGGTGGAATTAATCATGCGCAGGACGTTCCAGGCGTGGTCAATCAGGGCTGCCACAGCAGCCTCCTTTTTTAACAGGTATACCTTACTTTGCCTGGAACAGTGACAGAACCCCAGCTTCAGATGGCAGACTCCTGCAAGACATCACAAAGGTGATGGCGGCCACTCAGTTCTCAGCAGACTCCATAGTGGACGCTGTAAAATACTCTTCCAGAGCTCTAGCCTCTTCAGTGGCATCCAGGCATTTGCTGTGGCTGCGTAACAGGCAGGCGGAGTTCCAGGCAAAGTGGCATTTAGCAGGCACAGAGTACACTAGAGGACAGATATTCAGTCCATGTCTGGACCCCATCGTTGTCGAGGGCAAAAATAAGTGGAAGGTCTTTTCGTCCACATCCAGATGACCGGATCACTCTTCGGCACCATACCCCAGAAGGTCCAGTTTTTGAGCACCCAAACAGGACTTCCAACAACCAAGGTACTCTGCACCCAGGTTCCCCAGACAAAGGGGTGGACAGTTCTCTAGGGACAGGTTCAGGTTCCAATAATCTAACAAGCGCCCCTTTCAAGGGGGAGGCGACCGCCCCTTCCGCAGAAAAAAGTGATTCGGGATTGAATCACCCTATAGGTGGCTGCCTTTCTCTAGTCGTGGATCACTGGGAAGACATCACCACGGACACTTGGGTGTTGCAAACTGTCAGGTTCGGTTTCCACCTGGAATTCCGCTCACAACCCCCGAATAGATTTCAGGTCTTCTCTTTCTCCAGGAACCCGGCCAAGTGCTCTCTCATGTGCAAGGCTATCCAGCATCTACTGGAGATCACAGCGGTAGAGCTGGTACCGGAGGGAGAGAAGAAATCTGGTTTCTATTCAAACCTCTTTGTAGTCCCCAAGAGCTCTGGAGGGTGGAGGGCCATCCTGGACCTTAAGTTACTCAACTCCAGGCTGGTCTATCGTAGGTTCAAGATGGCATCACTAAAGTCTATCCTAGAGGGAATTAGATAGGACGACTTCCTAGCCTCTATTGACCTCACCGAGGCTTACTTACACATCATGATCGCACCTGACCACTGCAAGTTCCTCCGGTTCTCCTATGGGGGCACCCATTACCAATACAGGGCCGTTCCCTTTGGCCTAGCCTCCCCCCCTAGGACGTTTACCAAGGTACTGGCCGTGGTGGCAGCCCACCTCTGCTCCAGCCCAGTCCAGTTACACTGCTATCTTGATGACATCCTTGTATTAGCACCCTTGCTAGCTCGAGCAGAAAGGGACTTAGGTATCATTATCGCCACTCTGAGATCTCTGGGATTCTCGGTTAACCTCAAGAAGAGTCACCTGACACCCACCACCAGACTCCAACATTTAGGGACCATTATTTACTCGGTGGGAGGAGAGGTTTTCCTCTCAGAGGAGCGCAGGGACAGCATTGTACAAATGATTCTAGAAATTTGTAGGCTACAATCTGTCTCTGTAGCCTTTCTTTCCAGGCTCCTCGGCAAATTCATCTCCTGCATTGGGATAGTGCCTTGGGCCCGACTCCATGCCAGGGAGCTGCAGTGGTTCCTGCTTACCCACCAGAGAGAGGGGACAAGCAATGCAGAATTCAAGGTCAGAATTCAACGTCAGGTACACCCCTCCGCTGGCGGATGTCACCAGCCCTGTCGAAGGGCTCCCTATTCAGGAAGCCAGACAGACTTGTGTTAACGACAGATGCAAGCCTATTCGGTTGGGGAGCACACCTGAGTCCCAGCTGGTCCAGGGGCAGTGGACACAGGCCGACCTCCACAAGAGCATTAACTGGCTGAAGCTCAGGGCGAGCCACCTGGCCCTACGACAATTTAAGACATCGGTAGCGGGGAAACACATCCTAGTCCTCATGGACAATGTGGCGGCCAAGGCACACATGTACAAACAGGGAGGCACCCATTCCAGGGCACTGTGTGACGAGGCTGTGAGATTGGGAAACTGGGCGAAACGGAACCTCCTATCGATCCAAGCAGAGCACATCTCTGGGGTGAAGAATCACCAGGCGGACTGGCTCAGCAGGGAGACGGTAGACCACGGAGAGTGGCAACTTCATTCCAGCATCTTCAGCCAAATCTGCCAGAGGTTCGGAAGACCGTCGGTGGATTTCTTTGCCTCCCCGATGAACGCTCAGCTCCCGAGGTCCATATCGCGGTTCCAGACATAGGAAGCGATGAACAAGACTCCCTGCAATGCCAGTGGCTGTCGGTGGCTGTTAAGCTTTCCCCCCTCCCTCTCCTACCTGGGGTGCTCAGGAAGCTGGTATTAGGGAGGGCAGAGGTCATTCTGGTGGCTCCATACTGGACCCAATGCCCCTGGTTCGCAGATCTGATAAAGCTGTCTATCACCCCCTATTGGAGGATCCCTCAGGAGAAGGAAACCTTTACCCAGGGGAGTCTGCTTCACCTAGACCCAGACTGGCTCCAATTGACCGTCTGGAGATTGAGCAGACACAGTTAAGAGAGGCCCAGATTTCCCCACAGGTCATAGGAACCGTAGAGGCGGCCAGGAGGAGATCCACCACTTGCATCTATGACGCGACCTGGGTCTCCTTCGCAGCCTGGTGCCTCTCGGCTCAGATAGAACTGACAACAGCCACAGTTCCGCAGGTCCTGGACTTCCTTCAGGATGGCCTGGAGAAGGGCCTGACCTCTAGCACCTTCAGAAAGCAGGTCTCAGCCCTGGCCACCGTCCTGGGGGAGAGTGGGCACACAGTCATTGTCCCAACTTCCCATCATCAAACGGTTCCTCAGGGGTGCAACCAACCTCAGACCCCTGGTGATTCACCGTTTCCCCTTGTGGCACCTGCCTACAGTGCC